CGTGTGAGGAACTGGGTGAAGCAGTTTGTCTTCTACCTTTAGGGTTTTCTTCCAGACACTTCCCTCCCCACCCCACCCCCCTTCCCGTCAGGGAGACCAGCAAACGGTGTGGGGCAGCAGCTGCCCGGAGGCCTCGCCGAGTCTGAACAGCACCTAAAAGTGCCCATTCTCAGCTCTGTCTCCAGAGACTGAGAAATAGAACACTGATCTCTCTGGAGGCTTCCTTTCCAAGTGTCCCGTATTCGCTTTCATTATGGAGTGTCGCTTCCAAGCCCCCACTGCTGACACCACGTTTCCTAGGTGTTAGAGCATCTCTCCAGCCTAATGAAAGAGCCCAGCTGCTCGGTGGGTTAGTGCTCGGGTGCTGACTGAAAGGTCAACAGTTTGGACCCACCAGGTACTCCATGAGACGACAGGCTTGTCATCTGCCTCTCCACAGATTATAGGCGTGGAAACTAGAAGGCTGTTCTGTAGGGTCACCACGAGGCCAGACTGAGTCAACAATAATGGGGTTAGGACTTTCTTTTTGTTTTGGTTTACCCAACCTTATCAATGAGCCCCAACTGGACTGTCTGAAGCAGAACGTGGCACCAGGATGGGAGGAAGGCTCATTAAGCGACTTGCAATATGCAGATGACACAGCCTTGCCTACTGAAAGTGAAGCACTTGCTGATAAAGACTGAGGACATCAGCCTTCGGTATGGATTACACCCAATGCCAAGAAGACCCAAATCCTCACAACCGGACCCACGGGTAACATCATGCCACACAGAGAAGATGGGAGTTGTCAGGATTGCATCTTGTTTGTACCCACAATCAGTACTCACCGAAGCAGCAGTCGAGAAATCCATTGGCTCGTTGCATTGAGTAAATCGGCTGCACACGATCTCTTGAAAGCGTCACCGAGCATGGATGTCGCTTTGAGGACGAAGACCTGCCTGACCCAAGCCCTGATCGTTTTCATCGCCTCATCTGCTTGTGAAGGTTGAACATCGCATAAAGAAGACTTCGTGCATTTGAACTCTGGTTCTGGCAAAACATACTGAATGTACCACAGACTGGCAAAAGAACGAATAATTCTACCTTAGAAGAAGAGCCAGAATGCTCCTTAGAGGTCCGGATGGCGAGGCTTCGTCTCATGTCTGTGGGACAGGTTGTCAGGAGAGACCTTCCCTGGAGAGGGACATCATGCTTGGTAAAGCAGAGGGGCCGCCCCAAAGAGAAGAAGATCCTCCACATGAAAGCTTGATACCGAGGCTGCATCAATGGGCTCCTGCACAGGAGCGCGTGTGAGGATGGCGAGGGGCCATGTGCTGTTGGACACAGGGATGCTGTGACTCAGAACCGACTCGATGGCCCCTAACAAGAACAGTGGATGAGTCCAGATGGTTCGGTGGTTAAGTGTTGGGTGCTAGCCGAGAAGACTGGCAGTTTGAACCTCCCAGCAGCATCGCAGGAGCAGCCTGGAAGTTTGCTTCGGTAAATTTTATAACTTAGGAAGCTGCCCTCTAAAGGAATTAGACACCTTGATTAAATGACGTCTCTATGTGTAAAATCTCACTCAATGGTCCCTAACACCAACAACATCTAACCTAATTAGACTTCAGTTTTGCAGTAAGACTTAATGAAATCCCCTTTCTCATGTTCAGCAAATCCATTGCCTGTGACTTGTATCTCGCTAATCTCCTGCTTTATAACTTGGTAAATATTTCTCTCTGTTCTTCCTCCCCCCAAAGCAACCAGATAGTAAGTCTGTGCCGTTATACTCTTTCTAAAAGTGTTTCTTGAGACGGAGGGTCAGTACCTGGCCGATGCACCTCATGCACAGCCTCCACCTGTCAGTGAAGACTTGCAAGTTGCAGCAATGCTGGCCAAGTTTCAGTGGAGCTTCCAGACTGGGACAGACTAGGAAGAAAGGTCTGGTGATCGACTTCTAAAAATCACGCCTTGAAAACCCAATGGAGCACAATAGCACAGTGTCCCGTGCGTGGGGCCACTTGAGTCAGGAGCTGATTCGACAACTGCTAACAGCAGTATTGAACGTGCCTCCTGAGCCGGAGAGCCATGTCGGCCGCGCACTGCAGCTGCTTCATACAGGCTTAACTGGGCAATCCTGTCCATTTTTTCCAACTCAGTACCCAGTGACCTCACATCAGTCGGCCAGCGTGGCCACGGTGGCAGTGTTTGCACCGCAGAAACTGGCACAGGCCGCAGATCAGGCTCGTCTTCCCCTCCGCCCTCCCAGAAGAGCTGGTAGTGCCACATCTTCCAGCCTGCCCTCTGGAGTGCTGTCCCCTAAAGTGGATGAAAAAGACCCCCGGGAAGTGCTGGCGTGATTCAGGAAGGGCTTGAAAGCAAAGACCTACATTTTATCTTGGATTATGGGTTTTTCTAGTACAAACTAATTTTCATTTCTGCCATGTATGTACAGTGAACCCTCGTTTATCGCGGTTAATCGGTTCTAGACCCTACCGTGATAAATGAAATTCCGCAAAGTAGGATTCCTTGTTTGTAAATCAAATATTTTCGTAGTTAGAGCATAGAGGACATGAAAAAACACCCTTTAGTCACCATTACACTCGTATTACCCAATTTATTAAACGAAAAAGGGAAAATACAGTAAAACATTTTGGACGTTGCAATTATCATTTATTATTTATTATATTATTTATGGCATCTAGTTTACAGTATTACATATTTCACATACAGTATTATTATACATAGTTCTTACAAATACTGTAATCAATAGCCTATGAAATGACTTAAGGGATGTACTCTACAGGTGCGTCGCCCTCTTTTTCCTCTGAAGGAGCAGGTGTAGGCAGTGGGTGCTGTTACGCAAAAACCGTGATAGAGTGAAGCCGCGGAAGTCGAAGCGTGAAGTGGCGAGGGTTCACTGTATATGTATATTGCTAGCACCTTTTTTTTGCTTTTTAATAACCTCAAAGGGGAGTGCTCGGTCCAATAAGCTTGGGGATCAGTGCCCAAGAGCACACCAGGCATGTGAGGTGTGCATTGCGAGTGGCAGTGTCCTGGTCTTGTGTCTGCAGGCATTGATCGTGGACAAGGACAGGTCCAGGCCTGAGTCTCAGGGCTCCAGCCACATCGGGGCTCAGGAGCCCTAGAAGCACTGGCTGGAGAATCAGGCAAAGCCAGTTTGCATCTGGCCACAGCTGCTTCCAGGCTGGGAACGTCTCCGCCTCCTCCTTAGCTTTCCTGAGCCCCCTAGCTGACATGCTTAGTAAAGAATGTACTAGGTACCAACCACAATCATCTTCCAACTGTCTGGGGTTGTCTCCACTCTCCATCCTGCTGAGCAAAGCAGCCCAAAGCTGATTTGGGAGCTGCGGTGCCACCCAGCGAAGGAGCTGCCGTGGCCTGCAGGGACTGTCACCAAGCTCAGCCCGTCCCATGCCCCACACCTTCTCTGCCCACTCCAGTGGCCCTGGAGGTAGTTGATGGCTTCCAGGAAGCTCAGCAAAGTCAGGACGGGCTTCTCCTTGTGGATGCTGATGAACTGATTTCTTTCCTTGCCCAGTACATTGAGTTATTTTAACATTGTAACATAGGGATGCGATGGAGCGAGTCCTCCCTTTGTGGCCCCTCCCCAGCCCACCCAGGTCTCACCTCTCAGCAGCCCCACCGAAAGATGAGAGCGAGGAGAGGGAGACAAAACCTCTCTCGTTATTGCTATGTGAGGAAGCCAAAGGCCCAGCCCCCGCACAGCCTGCCCTGCAGGTGATGGCTGTGAGGTGCCATCGGGTCGGTTCCGACCCATAGCCACCTGCTCACCAGCACACGAAACACTGCCCGCTCCTGTGCCATCCTCGCGATTGGTCCCGTGCCTGAGCAGCCACCGTGTCGGGCCATCTTGTGGAGGGGTTTCCTCGCTTCACCTGCCCCTCGACTTTGCCAGGCACGATGGCCTTTTCCAGGGACTGGTCTCTCCCAAGGACTGTCCCTGGATGAAGGCCCACCCTCCTTGCCTCTAAGGAGCACGCGGACTGGACTGCGTCCAGGACAGATCCGTGTGTCCTTCCGGCAGTCCACGGTGCCTTCCATTGCTCTTCTCCAGCACCACACCCCAAACGCTTCCCCGATTCAGTGCCTGACTTTCACGTGCATAGAAGGTGACCGAAAAGACCATGGTTTGGGTCAGGCGCACCTTGGTCCTCAAAGTAACCCCCTAGGTTATGATGTGGTGATTTGGGCTGGGCTAGAGAAGACCCAACGTGGAGCCAGGAACTCTGGGATGAACTCACACGTCAGTCACTGGAACAGAAATTGGCAAAGATGTACTCAGAGTGAAATCGTGAAACGTGCATCTGCTCCCCCCAAAGCCATTTTACATCAACTCCTCACGGCTTTCCAGTGTGTTCCTTAGGGCCTCCGATGTCTGATGGGGGGGGGGGGTCCATTGACACGCCTTTCTGCCAAGGTGCCTCTGGGTGGTTCCAAACCTCGATCCTTTTAACTCATAAGCCAGCACTGAACTGCCTGTGTCACCCAGAGGCTAAAGTTAGTTACAGCGAAGTCGCTCTCTCTCTTTCAAAACACATGACAAGCCTCCTCTTGTATAAACACCCTCTATCAGCTGGGGCCCACGTAGGCTATTCCGTCTTTGGGGTGGCAGTGGGAAGAATGATAACCAGAGGGCTTATGAGAAGCCTACCACTTACCAGATGCAATGCCAGCTTTGCCAGTTCACCCACTCTGAACATCGCCCTTCGAGGTCTGCATTGCTGTTCTCCATATGATGAGAATGTCTCAGAGTGATTGCAGAAGGTCGTCTATAAAGGCCCGAGTCTATACCAGGGTCTGTCTCCCTGCAGCCCTTGTGCCTTAGTCTGGGGAGGTTCACCGGAGGACTGTGTAGAGGGCAGGTCCTCTCTGCGAGACCCCGTCCCTGAGGTTTTGGCCAGCACCTGCGTTGAACACAGGTGTGCTTGCTCGCGGCCTGACGGTTGGGTTTTTCTCATCTTTTCCATGCTCTTGCCCAGGGGTGATCCTGCTGCTTCTGGACAAGCTGCGGAAGATGAAATGGGAGCAGATGTGGAGGCTGACCGCAGAGAGGGAATTGATGGGCATGCTGTCCACATCCTTAGCTGACCAGGTGAGTGGCCAGGTTCGGAGTGGAGTTGTTCCTCGGTGCCTGGTCCCGCTCATCAAAGAAACAGTAGAGCAGATGGACCTGGAGCATCTACTTAATGCGTGACTCATCTGTACACTTGGCGACACCTGCCTTGTACTTGAGGGGCCCTGGTGGCACACACGGTTACGTGTTGCGTTGCTAATCACAACGTTTGTCATGTGAGACCACCAGCCGCTCCAGGGGAGAAAGGTACGGCTTTCTACTTCCCTAAAGAGTTACAGTCTCAGAAACGCACAGGACAGTTCTACCCTGTCCTGTAGGGTCTCTGTGAGTTGACAGTGACTTTGTGACAGTGAGTGACCTTACATTAGACGTCAGATACAAACCCTATCTGTTCCAATTTACATGCAAATTTGATTTAAAGACAGGTAAGAGCGGGGCTCCTTTG